GGCCTTGGGGTTTCACAGTTGAAAAGTGCTTTGTTTGCAGCCTCTCAATCACAACCTGTATGTTTCAGGACTGCCTTCGCCTTAGGATTAAACAGGGGAAATGTTCTTAGAAAACACGCGTTTTTAACCAGCCTTGCTCTGGGGCACATTAAGCCATGTGGCTGCTGTAGCCACGCCTCCCGGGTCTTGAACACTGGCGCTGCCTAGTTATCTGACATTCTTGTGAATTTCGGGCCATATCTGCTGTAACACTGCTTTTTATCATCCCCAGTATCAGCACTAATACTTGTCAGACTCCTGTCTCTAATATTAATAGCACAGCACTATACTATTTGGCCTTTTTGGGAAGGAAGAAGTTTTTTTCTTTAACCCTCAGATGGTCCCTGGCTGGATCTGAAGATGAAACTCACAAAGACAGATGAATAGGAAAAGAAGCAAACAAATTTTATTGAATTTTTACATATCCACAGGAGGCTTCACAAGGGAATGAAGACCTCAAGAAGTGACCAGGGCAGGAAGCTTTTATACCTTTTAGGCAAACAATAAATTTGTGAAGAATGGACAAGACAAAGTAGTTTGTAATAAGGGTAGTAAACGGTGAAGACGTGTAACGAAGATGATAAGGGTTAGTTGAACATGGTTTACTTGCCAGTTTTACTCTGGGCTGATAAGAGTCTGTCTCCAGTGAAAGGAGAATTTATTTCCTGCCTTCAGACAGAAAAGTGGGAACTTCTTTTACATTTACTTGCTTCTTAACTGCCTTCAGTTCAAAATAATTTTATGTCGAAGAGGCATATTTGAGGGTGACATATTCTGGTTTCCACTGGCCTTCTTCGTATTTTATTAAATCTAACTCCTAGAGGAATAGATTTTTGGAGCCCATTTTTCAGCATTAGCACAAGTACCATTTTTGAATGAACATGTGGGTGATGTAAGATATGAAACATTTTAGACTATAATTAGCAGTAAATCTTAAAATAAGAGGAAAATATCTACCAAAATCAGATGAAGTTCAAGTGCATGTAAAAAATAACATGGTTTGCCCAGTATTAACAGTGGATGCATGGTACACTGACAAAGTTGTATATAATAGTACATTACAGAATATATTACAGTATAGAATCAAAGCTTAGTTTACTTGATCCAGCGACTCTGAAATTCTGTTTCTTGACTATTTTTTAATTTGAAGAGATTTGCATTACTTAAAATTTTGCAAGTAAACAAATTTTATTGAGATCATTACGTCCAGCTATTTGGTTTTTGCATAGTTAAGATTCACATACAGTGATAGCAGTGCAGTGTAATAGGCAAGGAAGATCAGAGACTGAGCAAACCCAAGTTCACTGCAAAGGCAGGTTATTCTAAATAAATGTCCAAGTTCAAATTGAGAGGAGTAGAGAATTTTTCAAACCATATTCCTGTCTTCTGCTCCCTTAGTCTTTGGTAGCCAGTTTCCTTCTATATAGCTACATCCCCCTAAAGCTGAACCTCTCTCCCCTAGCTGCCATTAAGTAATTTTATTTATTGACCTGTTATTATGGTCCTATTCCTTTTCTCCAATCACCTGACCCCTGATCCTTCCAACTACATTCTGATGCTTTGCGTGTTTTCATTGGGGAACTCCATTTCTAAAGAGGACCTTTAAACCGCACACGTTGGAAGCTTGCCGTAGGAGGATATTGACTCAAGCAAACAACCTGTCAGCTCAGCAGCCCATCACCCCAACCTTCACGTGTCCTGCCAGCCTGAAAATGAGACAGGCCCCTTGCCACAATTCTAAATGTATTTCCTTGTCAGTGATTCTGGGATTCTGGTTGTTCACAAGTGATTTTGAAAATGATTGGGTGTCTTAGCTCAGGCTGTCATAACAAAATACCAGCGACTGGGCAGCTTAAAGGACAGAGATGTATTTCTCACAGTTCTGGAGTCTGAGATGTCTAAGATCAAGGTGCTGGCACATTTGGTTCCTGTTAGGCCTCTGTTCCTGGCTTACAGATGGCCGCCTTCTCACTAGGTCCTCACATGGCTTAGAGAAAGAAAACTCTCTGGTGTCCCTTATTCTTCTCATGGAGACACTAATTCCATCATCAGGGCCCCACCCTCATGACCTCAACTAAACCTAATTACCTCCGTAAATTCCCACCTCCAAATACCATCACACAGTTTGGGGGAGGGGGACAGTTAGAGCTTCAACATATGAACTGGGGGACGGGGGCGCACAAACATTCAGTCTGTAAGAATGGCCTTTTGAAATGTGTGCTTAAGGAGATTTCTGGAAAGTATAAAGTGATTTACAAACTTTAAGGTATTTTTATCAGTATTGTTACATTTTTTATTGGCAAGTTTTTTAAACTTTCACCCTGTTCCTTGGTTTCTAAGGAAATGACATTCTTTCTGAGCAATGTTCAGAAAGATAAATCCCTGGTGCAGTTTGGAATTTAAGAAGTGAAATACTAAATGTGCAGAAAATGGAGACGCTGACACTACATGTGACAGGAGTATCTTAAACTTCAACTCTGATGCTTCAATTCTTATTGCATTGCTGACCTATCACAGTGAAAATATTATTCAATGGCTATTAATACCTTATATCACATTGCGGAGAGGTGGACTTTGAGAGAATGGGAAGCAGGAAAGATCAGTTTTGAGGGAGGGAAGGGACCTGGCAAAGTGCAGGTCACAGAGTGCTAAGGGTGGGAGGTGGAGGAAGGGGTGAGCTTTATTTATTTATTTGTTTGTTTATTTATTTGGCTGTGCTGGGTCTTAGTTGTGGTATGCAGGATCTAGTTCCCTGACCAGGGATCGTACCAGGGATTGCTCCTGCATTGAGAATGCGGAGTCGTAACTGTTAGACCACCAGGGAAGTCCCAGGGGTGAGCATTGTGGCTCGAGGGCTTCCAGCACCTTGCAGAGGATATGAGTAGCAGGCAGCCCAGCGGTAAGAAAGCACTGGAACACTAGTAAGTGGTACCATTATTGAAGGTGGGCTGATGTAGGGAATGAGGAGGGGCACAATCAAGACAGGGTTTTCCTCCGGCGCAGCTAATGCCACCTTGATTGGCACCAGCTGCACAGGGTGGCTGGCACCTAATGGGCGCCCAGTACACGTGGAATGAATGATCGAATAAATGATTCAGTGAAGTGAATGCCTCCAAGTGAATGCACGCAGGTTCTCCCTACCCCTGGCAACTGTGCATCTCCTGTAATACATCCTCAAGCTCTGCAAAGTTCTTCCATTGAAATCATTGGAAGAAGCTTCCAGAAAAATAAAGAGTGGCGAGAACTTGATGTGAGTTGCTGAGAGGAAATGTCTTGGGATCTGGGCTTACCTAAGGATGGTTAATGTAGACAACATGGTCATCAGGATGTAGTTGCTCCCCTGTTTGTACTTCTTTTCACCCTTTGAATTGCTTTTTATTTCTCCTGAGCGTCCTTCTTCTTTTATCTAGATTGCTCAGTTTGCTTTGGAAATGAGACATTATGCAAGCGCAGTATGGCTTGGAATGATTATATGTAATGGGAAAGACTCTAATACATAGGCCTTTTATAGCTGCAATTGTGTTTTATTAGTTTTTTTGAAAAGAACATTTCAGTGGCTCAGTTACTGAACATTAATTGTGTTGACTTGAAGAAAATGAATCATAGCTTTGTGTGTTAGTGTATGTGTGTGTGTTACTTCTGGGGCCTGTCTTTTAAAGATGTAAAAGTTGTTTGTGAAACTTTTATGATCTTAATATTTCACATACACCTTTTCATTTTGTTTTTGGAAAATTTTTTTCACTTTTATTAAAATAGTGCTGATATATCCCTTGAAGCTAATTTCAAGGAATGGCTTAATTATTTGCACAAAGCATTGTTTTTCTTAGAGAAGTCTGTACTCCAAGAATTTGAAGGCAAAGGTATCAGTTGAATTGTTTCTATTCAGGATTTAACAGTTCTGTTACTTTGTTCAACTCAGAGCAACATCAAATCTCAGAGCTGAAAGGGTCTCTGTCCACCAAGGCCTTTTAAAAAACCTTTAGCAAGCTAGGTCCCCTTTTGATAAATACAAAAAAAAAAAAATGGTAATGCAATCTGAAATTCAAAGAAATTGAAATGAAATATTCTCAACAAAAACCAAAGTAAAACAATGTAATGGAGTGTCGTTCTTCTATCTCTTTTTGTAAATCACAAGTGGCTTTAAGGCTCTGACGCCTCTCAGGGAGTGGTTGACTAGATTAACTACCTCATTTTACAGATTAAAAGACTGAGGTGCAAAGATTCCAGGAGTGCCCATCCTCTCAGCATCTTAGGAGCAGAACTGGGTCAAGAACCCGGACGTCCTGTTGGCTGCTTCCTGCTTTGCCCACAGCACCCCTCCCACCGCCCAAACCTTTAAGGCTATACTCGCATGCAAAGGAGGCATCTTATCCAGTGTCATCGCCCTATAACTGATGATGCTGATATTCTGAAAGGTTATCCTGAGTTAATGCTGTCCCAGCAGGATGGAGGCAAAGGCCAAGAGAAACTTCTCAGGCCTGGCCAGTCCATGGATCCTGGTTGATTTTTATTTACTTTATTTCGTCCTGGACCATCTGTACCATCATGACATAGAAACACTGCCCTGATATAGCTTCTGGGGAATAAGGGGGCAACATTTAAATCTGAAAATTGATTTTTTTTTTTTTTTTTTTGCGTTACGCGGGCCTCTCACTGTTGTGGCCTCTCCCGTTGCGGAGCACAGGCTCCGGACGCTCAGGCTCAGCGGCCATGGCTGACGGGCCCAGCCGCTCCGCGGCACGTGGGATCTTCCCGGACCGGGGCACGAACCCGCATCCCCTGCATCGGCAGGCGGACTCTCAACCACTGTGCCACCAGGGAAGCCCTGGATTAATTTTTGAAATAAAGTCTGGGTCTTTCACCATATTGAAAGGTCTTATTGGTAGCTTTCACTGAAAAATTTAACACGTCTTTTTTAACTTATACTGATTGGTTCTCTCTCTTTTTTTTTTTTCTAACAGTGTATCTGGTGGAGAGCTGTTTGACCGGATAGTGGAGAAGGGATTTTACACAGAGAAAGATGCCAGCACTCTGATCCGCCAGGTTTTGGATGCTGTCTACTATCTCCATAGAATGGGCATTGTCCACAGGGACCTCAAGGTGAGGCTGTCGCTTAGCAACACCCTCCAGTTGCTTTCCAACCCACAATGCACCTGTCGGAGCAGATTGGCTCCAGAGGAGGGATGAGGTTGCCTTGATGTAGATACGGTGGGCTTTGTGTACTGTTAGTCATCAGGGTCTTTGGGACCCAGAGGTAGCTTGAAAGATGATGAAGGTCAACGGGGCTGGCCATTGTTTGGGACATTTAATAACCACTGTACAGCGAAAGGGCCATGGGGAGGTAGGTTGTGTATTGCTTCAAACTTATCTAAACGGTAATTTTGTTCAAGACCTGGATGCCATGGAGATTGCCCAGTGCAGTTCTCCAGCCTTTTCCCAATTCCAGCCCTATTTCAGTGCAACCCACCGTATGAAAGAAAGGGAGCAGTAGATAGAGGGTGTGAGGTGAGGGAGAAAGGAAATAAAAGGTTATCCAGAAAGATGGGTTAAATGACATACAGTTACAGCCTTCTCCCAATGTCCTGTCGGTTCCATTCTTATCTTTTCCCTATGAGGTTTTAAAATACCCTTCATCAATAGCATTGAAGGATCTGGGCCTTGGTCACCTTGGCCCAAGGGTCTCTGTGGATGCCGAAGGGTAGGTATCATAGTACCAAGGGTAGGTATCGAACATATCAATTTGAGGAACAGAAAAAAATCTGCGCTGTTGACCGAGGCTATAAAGTGGCTTCATTCTACAGCAGTTATAGGTCCAGCCCCCAGAACTCACGGCACCAGTCAAGATAGACATCTCACCCCAGCACACATACTCACCACTCCTATCAGAAACACAGGGATTATATTGTGCTGAAGCCATGCTCTACACAACTACGGGCAATCTAAATCAATTTAGGGAATAAATGGTAAACGTGGGTTAAAACAGAATGTTAACATCCGGCCGTCATCTGGTGCTGGCTGTCAAGGTATAAAATGGTGTGGCTTTGCCTTTCATAGGAATTCACTGTGAAGTTTTTGCTTTTCTCCATGTTAATCACTTTCCATTGACTAGGGTAGTGGCTCCCAAATGTTAGCCTACATCAGAACTGTCTGGATGGCTTGTAAAAACAGATTGCTGGCTCTACCCCAGAGGTTCTGATCCTGCAGGTCTGCATCAGGGCCCGGGAACTTGCATTTCTAAGGGGTTTACAGATGATGTTGATGTTGGCCTGGGAACCACACTTGGAGAACTGCTGGACGAGGGTATTTGAGGACGTTGATGGACTTCTTACAGCCTTTGCTAGCCTCCTGATGGGTGAAATGGGCCGTGAGCACAAGTAGTTCATCTTCAGGACTTGCAGGTCCTTCAGAGGGCCAGGTAAGGGCTAGGTAAGGTGACCTGGCGCCTCTGTACCAGGCAGCTGTGCCTTCTCTGCTCTCTTGTGCCCTCACGAAATGCTGGTTCTGTGCTTCCAGGCCACAGCAGGCAGCTAGCTCTTCCTGAACAAGTTAGTTTAGTGACCGTAGAGATGTGATGTGGTGTACTTACTAGAAATCATTTCTAAGCAGGTAAGCCACTTCCTAGATGGGCAATGTTTATTTCCCCCTTAGAAAATGGTAAGGAAGGCTTTATTCAAGACTCCTGCAAGAGGGACATTGCATTAGGGGAGAGAATTGGGCTCCACTGCACATGTGGCAAGGACACATGGGGAGGTATAGCCGTTGAGCAGAGTGAGGGGTCATGGATGGACTGGCTTTATGGGAGATCATGTTTTTTACACGCAGGTAACGCTTTTGGAGAAGTGCATGCAGCTCCCAGCCTGTAGAACTTTAAGATCACCAGGCTTGTAATTGTGGATAGAATGTTACCATTTTAGGACCTTTCTGTGGTCTCTTTTCAGAGGCACAAAGAAGTTTGATCTATGTGGAGGAAGTTGGGGTTCAGGAATTAAATTTTTGTAAACCTCTAAGAAAACTAAACTCTGTGATAGAGGCCAGAGCAATAGAGAACATGATTGGGTTCATGTAAGATTAGAGCACAATTTGAGATGCTGCCCTAGCCCCACAGGTGGCTATACCTCTTTCTCCCCTCGGAAAGGTATTCTTGTGTCTTCTTGCCCCAGAAGCTGCTAACGATGATCAGTTGTCTTTTTTTCAAAACAAGTGAAACGTCCCCTGTTGCCTCCTCCCGTTAGGCACTGTTGCCTTTGGAGCCGGGTCATGCTTTGCTGTACGAGGCTGCTCTGTGCCTGTTCAGTAGCGTCCCTGGTCTCTACCCACTAGATACCTGTACCAGTCCTGAAGTTTTGACCACCAAAAAATGTCTCTAGGCATTGCCAAATGTCTCCTGGGGGGCGAAATTGTCCCCAGTTGAGAACACTGGATCAGGAGTATGACTATAGGTAACATGAACTTTACAGGAAGTGTTGATTCAGATCTTTTAAAAGCTTGTTATGTGAACAAGCGTTGGAATTGACATCCCAAGTCAAGTATTGGCCACGAATTGTCTTGCAAAGATGCCGTAAAATACAGAAAAATCATTTTTCGGTGAGTCCTGGGCCTCACAGGATCCCAGGAAGCATCGTAAGATCGCCTCCCTCCTCCTGCCCCTCCACCCCTCACAGCCCTCCTACTGCCTAGTGGGGGCCTCCACCCACATCATCCCTGAGCCCATCTTCCCTCCCACTTTTTCCCTGTGCACCCCTCCCCGCAAGTAAAGCCCTGCTGTGCTTACTAAGTCTGGAGGTAAGTAGAAGTATTGACCTAAGCTGAGAATGACCAGTCCACTGAACCCTCCTTGACGATTGCCCTTCAGAAGAGCAGTTCATTGATCCAAATGCGTCTCCTGTAGGAGGAAGGTATCAGGAGAGATTCGGGGCTCTTAGGCCGTCTCCTGCCTGGATGCAGCCTTGTCTAGGAGCATGAGATCCTTGACTTTACAGCTGTAGAAGTACTGGGACAGGAAGTTATAAAATCAGACACTTTAAAAAAAAAATTCTCTTTGCACCCATGATTGGATTCTTACTGTTCATCAAAGACGAATCCCTAAACATTCAGAGAAGCCATGAGCCACGTGCACTGTTTGGTTAGATTATTTCCCTCTGCTTTCTAAGTGTTGTTGTTTCTACTATTGATTGGCTCATTTTATTCTAGTTTAAAAGGAATTGAAAGCATCCTCAAGCATACATTTGATTTTCTCTAATTTTATGCTTCATCCACAAGATTAAAGTCACTGTGAATGATGTATCGTGTTATTTTGAGTGAGGGGTAGTATTTTTTTCCTTGGGGTTCAGTTAAAGAAAAAAATGGTTCTGACACATGTTAAAATGGTAAGGAAGGCTTTATTCAAGACTCCTGCAAGAGGGGCATTGCATTAGGGGAGAGAATTGGGCTGCACATGTGGCAAGGACACATGGGGATGTATAGCCGTTGAGCAGAGTGAGGGGTCATGGATGGAAAATTACTGTGAGAGACAGCAAGGGTGGGGGGATGCTTGCTCAACATCTCCCTCCGTCTCCATAAGCCCCGCCCCCATTTTTTGCCAGAAACAACCAGATTCCCCAATTTTCCACAAGATGTCATACAAACGAAACTTTGCTGTCTCCTGGTTTACCCCAGGATTGCCATCCGTAAGCCCCTCCCATGTAGACACCACGGGGGTGCCACTGATGTATACAGACTTAGAGTGGAAACGGGAGCTGTAATCGGACCTTTGCTGCATGTCGTGCATTACTGCTGCCTGAGCTCTGACATTTCATTTTACAGTCAGGGAAGCAAACGAGGAACCATCTTGACCCGTCTTCTACAGAAACAGAGCTTTTAAGGACACATGGCTAGAAAGCTCTAGATCTTCCGCCTCCGATTCATTCCGTGATGACCTCCCCCTGTTTCCCAGGGAGCGGAGCGCTCGGATATCAGCTGGCCCAGGAAAGGGGGAAGTGCAGTGCATGTGCCCGAGCTATGGACACGGGACGTCCCTTAGGGCGGGGAGAGAGACCCTTAGGTTGGAGACAGGTTGCTGACAAGGGTCAGAAAAAAGAAACCGAATAGCACCTGCAAAGACAGTTTTCTTTCTGGGAATCTCTGTGCCCCTAACCCAAGAAATGAATTGACAAGTCTGGGAGACATCTGCTTTCGAGTTGCCTCAATATATGGTTCATGGTTCTTAAGTAGAGAAAACACTAATAAGGGAAAGGGGCTCACATTTATTGAAAATCCGTAAATGCCCAATACGATATAAGGCACCCTGCATTGTTTTCACTAAACACTGCTTTTCTTAAGGCATTTACTGTGTCTAAAGGTCAAGTCTGTTCTTCCATTGTCATTAAGTTTTGGTGGTTTGGTGAGGCTCCCACAGGTAACCCAGCTTTTAAAACAGATTTCTTTTTTACATTTCTTTTTAGCCTGAGAACCTATTGTACTACAGCCAGGATGAAGAGTCCAAAATCATGATCAGTGACTTTGGATTGTCCAAAATGGAGGGCAAAGGAGACGTGATGTCCACAGCCTGTGGGACCCCAGGCTATGTCGGTAAGGACTGCGCGTGTGTGTTTTCGGTTCAGACCTTGACCAAGTCACTCTCTTTAATTAGCCAATCCTGATCTGTCCTGGAGAAGCCAAGAATTAAAGTTTTTTCTAAAATCAGAACCCCGGAGATCCTTTGTCCCTGACACTCAGAATGCAGAAAATGCTATGGCAGATCTGAACACATACTGAGACTCAACTTCCATCTTCTGGGGGCCCAGAGAAAGGCCATCGGAACTGTGTACGAAGTTATCGAGGCTTCCATTTGCACGACTGTATAAGTGCCTGCTATGCACCAGATGCTGTTCTAGGCATGGGGTGAAGACAGTGAATGAGACGGAACACCTGCCCTTGTGGAGCTGACCTTTCAGTTGGGAGAGACAGGCAGAAAAGAAACAGGGGAACAGGGGCATTTCAGATCTTACATGCTATGAAGAAGACAAAACGGGAGTGTATGATAGAATGACAGGTGTGAAGAGAGGTTGGGACAGTAAGGGGACAGGAGGAGACTCAGGCATTAGCCTTCATGACGAGAAGCAGCCCCAACCATGGGAAAGTCAGGGGACAGAGTTCCAGGTGGAGGCATCAGCTTGTGCTGGGGAGAGAGTGAGTACAAGCTAGGAAGGTCTAAGAGCAGGAAGAACTGAGACTGGAAGAGACTTTGAGAAAATGCAGACCAAGGCTGAATTCTCATCATACAGACCATGATGGCTTTTCTTAATGAGAACAGTAAGCCTGCCCTGAAGGAGAGGAGGTGATGTTAGATGACCAATGTTATTCCTGTTTGTTTGGGGATACAACCACGTGACCTTCCCAGGCAGGCTGAGGGAAGCAGGCCTCAGCTAAACGGGTCTGGGGCCCAGAGCATGGTCAGAAACTTCGAAAGACCTCGGAGGCAATTCAGGGGCCTCCAAGCGCTTGCATGATAATGGGCGTTAAGTCATCACTGTTAATGTCACAGCTGTTGCACTTTTAAAGGAACTCAGGAGAAAAGAACAGACTTGAAGGGAATAGAGACTAAAATGAGGGGAAGGGAAGGAAGCCACAGATTTAGGAGGAGATCAAGATGGTATAAATGTGGGAGGGGAGGAAAAGATGTGGTCAGTACCTGTTAGCTCTTGACTGTCACAGTACCCAGGAATTTTGTCCCTGGGTTGTGTGTATGCACTAGATACAGAAGGGGAGATGGTTCTGATCGTGTCTGCGAAGCCAGCACATCCGATGGAGATGCATTGTCAGGGTGAGCAGTCCCCGTTCTAGGAGAGAAAAGTCATGGTTTCAGGAAGAGCTTGGACTCCATCAGGAGGACTTCGATCAGCAGCTGTGGTGTGAGATGCACGTGTAGACACGTGTGTGCCCGGGGGGGGGGGCCGTGGGTGCAAATGTGAGCGTGTGCGGTGTGTGTGTGATGTGTGTGTGTGTGGAATTTCTCCAGTTCAGTCCAAGCCACCAGGCAAGCGGCAAATAAAAGTGAATGAGACAAGCTTATTCTCATTTCTCTTAAAAGACAGCGAGGAAAAAAGCTGGTTCCAACCGTGGTGAGTCATAGGCATCAGAAAATGGACAGGCCTATGAGGTCATGGGGTCCAGTCTCCTGGCTGGAATGGCTTTGCTCTGCTCCGCAGGGGCTGCTGCCCAGGCCACGCCGGGCGAGGAAGCTGCGGATGCTGTAGCCGCCCAGCTCCTGCTTCAGCACGTGGGCTCTGACAGAGAATGTGCATATTTACATAGGCATCGTACTGTTCTCGTATTTGGAAAGCTCCAGCACTTTCTAAATGGATTTTCGCTTTTTTACATTTTGACAGAGCTTGTGGAATGGCAGTTTCTCTGGGTTTCTAAGTGGCTGCCATCCTAGTGGTCTGGTTGTGTTTAGATGTCAGTCGCTGATGAGTCTGGGAACCGGGACTGGGGTTTGGATGTGGCCTTTGCTCTTTTACCCTAAATGGTGGCAAGTGGAGCCGTCGGGTAATTCTGTTGTCAGATACAGAGTTTTCCTGGAGTGAAGAGGGGAAAGGAGGACTATGGGAATATGGCAATTCTGTTTGTTCACATTTATTGAGCACCAAGATTCTTGGGGGACCTTTTAGAGTAAGAAAGGGGCAACACTGGGGAGCTTGTGTCTACGTAGACATGCCTTGGGCAGTGAGCAGCTGAGCTTAGGCTGTTTCTCCCCAACAGTCTGCATGGCAAGCTACTATTCGACCATTAAAGCCCAGCTTACGTGACCCTTTTTTTGTTTTTATTTTAAATTTATTTATTTGTTTTTATTTTTGGCTGTGTTGGGTCTTCGTTGCTGTGCACAGTCTTTCTCTAGTTACGGTGAGCAGGGGCTACTCTTCATTGTGGGGCGTGGGCTTCTCATTGTCGTGGCTTCTCTTGTCGCACAGCATGGGCTCTAGGCACGTGGGCTTCCGAAGTTGTGGCACGAGGGCTCAGTAGTTGTGGCTTGTGGGCTCTAGAGCACAGGCTCAGTAGTTGTGGCGCACGGGCTTAGTTGCTCCGTGGCATGTGGGATCTTCCCGGACCAGGGCTCGAACCCATGTCCCCTGCATTGGCAGGCAGATTCTTAACCACTGCACCACCAGGGAAGCCCTACACGACCCTCTTTTGACTGCTTTCCCAACATCCATCCTCTCCTTTGTCATCCTGGTTATTTTCCTTTTCTTACCACATTGCATCAGCTTCCATATTTATCCGTGTCTCTCCCCCTCTCCACTAGAGCAGGGGCTCTGGCTTACTCATCTTTGCACAGATGCTTGTTGAATTCAATAAAAACCTAAGCTTCGTAAACATGAGCGATATTTTATTTCTCTGCTCCCCTTCTCTTCATTCAGCATGTGTTTATTGAATTCCTGTTATGTGTCATGCACAAGAGTTTGGTGTTAGGAATACAAATACAAATTAGATAGAGTCTCTGACCTCAGAATGTTCACAGTATTGTGAGAGAGAGGGCTAACAGGTAAATTGAATAATGTATGGTGAGTGCTATATTATGCCTCATTCAAGAATTATTTATTTAGTGCCTACCTTCTGTGCTAGGCACTGGGGATGCATCAGTAGAAAGAAAAAACAACAGATAAAAATCCTCAACCTCGTGGTACTTACATCTGAGTGAGAGGGAAACGGGCTATAAGCAAACAGCTAAATATATTAATTAGCATCTTAGATGGACATGCGTGCTATGCAGAAAAATAAGGCAGGAAAGACAATAGGAAGTGTGTGTGTGTCTGTGTGTGTGTGTGTGTCTGTGTATGTGTGTGCAGGGGGTTGTCATTTTAACTACACTGATCAAGGCAGCCCTCAGTAAGAAGGTGACAGTGGGGTAAAGGTATGATTGCAGTGAAGGAGCCAGCCGTGCCGTTATTGGGAGGAAGAGCATTCCAAGGATGGTTCAAAGGCCCTGGGGCAGGAGTGTGGGAGGAGCAACAGGAGCAGGGTGAGAAAGGAGGAAGTCAGAGAAGCAGAGGGCAGGGCATGTGCAGACCAGGACTTAGAAGTCGCTGTCACGACCACGGGTGGCTGGAAGCCGCTGGAGGGATCTGAGGTAACGGGTGACATGATCCAACTTTCACCAAGATCCCTGTGGGGGACAGGCTGGGATAAGGAGAGGTGGCAGGGGGGACAGGGCCAGGGTGGAAGGAAGGAGACCAGCTAGAAGGCTCTGGAGTCGTCCAGGCGAGAAATGGTCGGGGCTGGGTCAGGTTGGCAGAGTGGAAGTGATGAGACGCTGTGGGATTCTGAATGTGATGTGCAGGTGACGTCATCAAGATTTTCTGAAAACCCAGAAGTAGGGTTTGAAAGAGAGAGACATCAAGGGTAATTCCAAGGGTTTTGGCCTGAGTCCTTGGAAGGGTGCAGTTGCCTTTAATTAAGATGTGGGGGGAGAACGTTGCAGAAGTATCACCAGGGGTTCAGGTTTGGATTTGATAACATCTGTGAGGTCCGGAAGGCAGCTGGAATAGGAGTCAGGTCTTGAGGGGAGACTCTTGTTTTGCACAGCAGTTCTGTCCTATAAAGTCACTGTGAGCACTGAACGGGCAGACCCTGAGCCCCACTCCCAGGGGAAATACAGGGCTGGGTTCCTGCGGGTCTCTAGTCCCAGCACTGTCATCAGCTGATCGATACTTGACCTTGTTATATGTGTATCTCTGTCCAGTGTCACTTTATTTAATATTGTTGCTGATTCATTACCGTTGAGCTTAGGCTGACAACACTGTAACTCACGCCTAAGTGAAGCTTATCGGACGTGCGTTTTCTCCGTAAGGTGCAGCCTTCTTGTGCTTGGGGGCACTGGACAGCACCTCGGCACTGACACCTGGGGACTCTTCATGCCTGTGGTAAAATTCAAGAAGCTACTAGGAAAATCCAAGTGAGCTGCTCATCTGCGATGCATTCTTAGTAAATTACGGCTCTAGGGGAGGGTGAGAAAGAGCTAAGGAACCTGTAACCCCCAGAAAGAGAACAGAGCTGTCCCAAGAAGCTTCTGCTCCTCTCGTGCAGCTCCGGGCTGAGGACAGACCACCGGCGAGGAATGATTCTGTATCTCAGCTGTGTTTTTATTTGCCAACAATCCAGACTGCAATCCTCTAAACCTAGGTGAAGCAACACCTGCTTATTAAGATGCTCACGGTAAAGCCCCTCAGCGCATTTTTTTTTTCTTTTTCAATACCTCTCCTGCTGAAAGTTCTCCTGGCGGGAAGCAGACCTGAGTTAACCCGTTCAGTACCACCTCCTCGTTGTAATGCAGCTCTTACTGAGACTGGATGCTCCTCTGAGCTGTATGCCTGAATCTTCCTTTCCTTGATCTTAGAATTTTATTTACCGTCTCTGAACAGTCCACTGCTGGGTGGAAAGGTCCTCTTTCTCTCCCACTGTTTTTTTTTTTTACAATGTTGTGTTACTTTCAGGCGTACAGCAAAGTGATTCCGTTATACATATCTATATCTATATAGACATATATGTATATATCTATTCTTTTTCAGACTCTGTTCCCTTATAGATTATTA